AAGGAAGGAAAGAAAGAAAAAGAGAAGAAAACATTTATTTGCCCCACAAGTGGGCTGTATCCCCTTCTCTGGTGGTACCAAAGAACTTGCCGCACACTCCAGCGATGGCCTGCTGAACCCAAGCTACAGCCTTTTTGAGACGATGGCTTGAATCAGGAACACGGAGCAGTGTCAGGGAAGATCACACCCAACATACACAGAGCTCTGAACAGAGCCAAGAAAGTCCAAGGAAAGCAGCCAGGACAGCTGCCGGTTACTGGCACCCCCACCCCTACCCCCACAAGGGTGACTACAACCACGGCAAGACAAATCTCTCTCCTCACACTTTTTGCCAAGCACACTCTGCAGAACCCCAGCCACTTAGGATGCATCTCCCGGCCGCCTTTTTTTTTTTTTTTTTTTTTGAGTTGGAATCTCACCCTGCCACCCCGGCTGGAGTGCAGTGGCACACTCATGGCCACCATAGACTTGACCTGCTGGGCTCAAGCGATGCTTCCATCTCAGCCTTCTGAGTAGGTGGAACTACAGGCATGTGCCACCACACCCGGCTAATTTTTTTTTTATGGTAGAGACATGGTCTCACCAAGTTGCCCAGGTTGGTCTTGAATCGCTGGGCTCAGGCAATCCTCTCGCCTCCGCCTCCCCAAGTGCTGGGATGACAGGCATGAGCCACCATGCCTGGCTTTATCTTCCCCCTTTCCCTCATAGATACACCATGTTACCAGTCTGTGCTCCTGGGTCTGGGGTACTGGTACTTCACATCTTACAACCGAGCTCCTGAACTCTGGCACAAAGCCAGCCTATACATCTGAGCCCTGATAGGCTACCCTGTCCTTTGATGTAAGGGCCCTGAGTTATACACATAAATCCTCAAATATAAGTGACCCGCCCAAGGTCACACTGCTCGTTCATTAAAGACAGCAGACCTGGGACTCACAACCCAGGCCTCTCGACTGCATATCCAGTCTGGCGGAGGGGGTGCCTGCTTTTGGGTGCCGGGGAAGTACAGGAGCACCTAAGTACCCAGCCCCTCAGGGAGCTCGGGGTCTACCCCCACCTCCAGCCAGAGAATGAGTTGCCCCAGGGTCCTGCTGGTGGACCTGGTCACCACCACTTTTACCTCTCATCCCTCCCTCCCAGCATGGGTCAAAGACGTAGTGCCAGAGCAGCTGCACAGAAACCTCTGCCTCAGTTCTCCCCAGGGGCCACACATTTTTCCAGGCTAATTTTAAACCCTCCATCAAAGGGATCCTTTCTGGCCAGACCTCCCCAGAGGCCCCTTAAATGCCAAGTTCTCAGCGCAAACTTCCCTGCTGGGATGGGGGTGGGGGAACAGTCCAAGAGATCATTTCCTCAACCCCAGTTTAGATTCCTGTTCCCAGGCTTCCCTCTGGGCCAGATGACCCTTTTCCTTGAGTTTCCATCTTTTAGATTCTAAAGTATCCACAAGGCTACACTATCCAGGCATGGTGGCTCACGCCTGTCACCCCAGCACTTTGGAAAGCGGAAGTGAGAGGACTGCCTGAGTCCACGGGTTCAAGACCAGCCTGGGCAAATTGGCCAGACCTCATCTCTACAATAAATCAAAAAATTAACCAGGCACGGTGGCACACACCGCACACCTGTGGTTCCAGCCACTTGGAAAGCTGAAGCGGAAGGATCGCCTGAGTCCAGCAGGTCTAGGCTGTGGTGGCCGTGAGCGTGCCACTGTACTCGAGCCTATGTAACAGACCCCAACTCAAAAAAAAAAAAACAAAAAACCCAAAAGGCTACACTATAGCTCCCATATTGCCCCTGGCTACCTCTCAGGAAGCAAACTGAGATCAAGACAGTTATGGATAAGGCGGCGGGTCCCCGTCTGCCAGGCCACAGACCCTTTGTGGGGAGCAAAGTCTCAGAGGCTAAGTTACAGGAAATCTGACCCAAACACTCTCCTTGGTTCTTCTTGCCACCCCAGCAGATTATGTGCCTCTTGTCCATCCCTTGAACAGACAGGGAAACTGAGGCCCAGAAAGGCTTGATAACTTGTCAAAGGCATGCAGCTTCATTCACCAAGGAGTGAAGGTGAGTGAGACCCAGACACGCTGACTGCTGTCTGTGGGGACAGAGGGAGCAGTCCTGGGCAGCCTCATTAGCACCATGGGGCAAGTACTTTTCCCTTCAGTGCCTTCCCATGATACCTGTTTAGGATGACAGCCAAGCTGGAATGATGTGGGGAGAGAAAGGAGAAACCGGCAGACCAGGGGAGCTTGGGGGAGATGTGCTCAACATGTGGGCAGCTACACAGAGGGCAACAAGTAGCCCTCCAGTCCCATCAGGCCCACCCAGCCCACCCCTCCTGGTGTCTGACAAGTACCTGAAAGGCTGCCTGTGCCACCCTCCTCCGCCCCCACTCCTCATTCTTTTTTTTTTTTTGGAGTCAGAGTCTCACTCTGTTGCCCAAAAAGTGCAGCGTCACATTTGTGGCCACCACAGCCTCAACCTGCTGGGCTCAGGTGATCCAAGTAGCTGGAACCACAGATCTGTGCCACCACACCCAGTTAATTTTTCTTGATTTATTGTACAGGCAAGGTCTCACCAGGTTGCCCGGGCTGGTCTCGAACCCATGGGCTCAGGCAATCCTCTTGCCTCAGCCTCCCAAAGTGCTGGGATGGTAGGCGTGAGCCACCACACCTGGCCCCTTCCTCATTCCTTAGCTAAAGGGCACCCACCCTTCAGAACGTCGTTTCCGCACCTCCCTTCCCCTCATCTGAAATCCTGAGGACCCCATGTCTTCTACCTTCCCCACAAGTCTGACTGCACCCTTCACCTCGACTACATGAAGCCCTAGAGGCAGAAGCCTAGTAACAAAACGGTTGTATCTCCCATAGGGCCTAGAGTCGGGCTCCAAGATGTGAGACCCCCCCCCCATGTCTATGTAGCTCAGTTCCTGCAAAGAAGAAACTCAGTCAGAGACCAGATGTGGCCCAGCATGGCGGAAGGGCACCCTCAGTGGCAAGAAGAGACTTGAGTTAGATGAGAGTTTGCTTCTTGTTCTGAATCTTTCTTCGTCTGTACAACATGAATATCGCCTGCCTCCAAGACTGAAAGGCCACCTTACTCTATGGCTGGCGAGTATGAGAAGCTCAGCAAAATGCATGTTTCAGCCGGGCTCGGTGGCTCAGCCTGCCATTCCAGCACTTTGAGCCTGAGCCTGCGGGTTCAAGACCCGCCTGGGCAACTTGGCGAGACCTCGTCTCTTCAATAAATCAAAAACTAGCCGGCCGTGGTAGCATGTGCCTGTAGGTCCAGCTACTTGGAAGGCTAAGGTAGAAGGATCGCTGGAGCCCAGCAGGTCGAGGTTGAGGCTGTGGTAGCCAGGAGCATGTCATTGCACTCTAGTCTGGGCGACAGAGTGAGACTCCAACTCAAAAAAAAAAAAAAAATTGTGTTTCGTTTATGGCTTCCGTAATCGTGTATCTGCACAAGGACCTCAACTACCAGGTACCATGAGCCATTTATGGTAGTAAGGTTGTCTAGTGAGGCTGGATCAGGTCCAGGTCAGACGGGAACTGGGAATGCGGGCGAGACACCCTCCGGCGGTCACAGGATGCTTTAGTTTTCCTCTTCCCCAGGGGAGGAATTGTCTAAGGTAGAAGGCATCATGGAGATCAGCTA